GAGTGGCGGAAGTTTCTAATATGGAGGGCCTTCGGCGGGTTGCGCGTAGGCGGCCTGTGCGTAGGCAAACGCCTTCGGCGGAACTGTAAAACCGTGATAACGTTTTCAATTCTTAATGGTTTGCGTTAGTTAGGGTCTCGTTAGAAAAAGCTCCACACGCTCGTTCTAACGAGCCCAAGAACGCTTGGAACAGATGAGGACTTAGGGAGTTATGACTATCGGAAGATACGTAGACGTTCGCTTTCGGCGGAAGGAGTTCGCCTCCGCCGGGGATTCCTCCTACGCAGAAGGGAGTTCAACTTTTGTCCTATGCCCGGACGAATGCCTTCAGCGGTTGCAGGCCTTTGGCGAAGCAGTATAACCGGCATATCTTTTTCAATTCTTAGCGGTTTGACTTGATTCGGGTCTCGTTGGAAAGAACTTGACCCGCTGGTTCTAACGAGACCAAGATCTCTTGAAACACATCAGTCATCACTGAGTTATGAGCGTCGAAAGCGGCTGTCATGTTTAGGCGAGAGGCCTTCGGCGTTAACAGTTAGAGGGGCCTTCGGCCCAAGGCGGCCTGCGTGTAGGACGGGTTGCGTGTAGGACGCCTGCGCATAGGCGGCCTGCGTGTAGGACGCTTGCGCGTAGGCGGCCTGCGTGTAGGACGGGTTGCGTTTAGGACGCCTTTGCATAGGTAAACGCCTTCGGCAGAAGAGTAAAACCGTCATTTCTTTCTCAATTCTTATTGGTTTGACTTAGTTATGAGCTCGTTGGAAAGAACACAACACGCTTGTTCTAACGAGCCCAAGAACGTTTCAAACGAAGCAGGGATCCGTGAGTTATGGGCGTCGGGGTGACTGTTATAGATAGGCAAAGGTGTGGAAGGGTGTCTTCGGCGGGAGGATGCCTTCGGCGGTGCGCAGAAGAAGATTTCGGACGGCGGATGTTGACGTGGTCATAAATTAAGACTGTACAGGTGTGGCAGTGGCGGCGGCGTGAAGTCAGGCGTGAAAATAGGACGGCGGGGCATGAAGTCGCACATGGGAACCAGGCCGTTGCCCATCATCGCGGGAACGGCATTCACGCGGGCTGTGGGTGACTCGGCCCTTGGACGTTGGAGAGGATTATTCGGCCTACAAGCTGGGATTGTGTGGTGTGCCATTGTGTGGAGACGCTGGTGGGATCGGTAGGAGGAATAGAGTGTGGACGTGAGTGATTTTTGCAGGGAAGTGGTGAGGATTAGGAGGAGAGTGTGGAGTGTTTGAAGTAGGAGGAAGCAACCTCTCGTGAGTGGAGAGTAGTATCTGAGAGTGAAATTAGATTGGGCTCAAGATTGAAGTGTAATCTGTGAGTGGAATTTGAGATTGAAGTGTAAGATCCGTGAGTGGGATCTGAGATCGAAGTGCGAAATCTATGATTGGGATCTGAGATTGGGGTGCAAAAATCTGTGAGTGGGAGCTGAAATCCGAGTGGAAGATCTGTGAGTGGGAGCTGAGAGTGAAGTGAAATCTGAGACTGAAATCCGACAGTCGGGATCTGAATTTGAAACTGAAAAGGGAGAGTGGAATCTAAGAGAGAAATCTGGTGGGGTCTGAAGGTGGAAACTAAGAAATCGACACTGAAATCCGAGTAGGAATTGGGAGTGGAACTCAAAGCTAGGATAGACCACAGTGGCTGTGGTATTGAGGAAGTCACCCAGAGTTGGGTTAGATCTTTATGTAACAAAGAGCTTGTCTGCTGCTCTTGTGGAAATAGTAGACAACAAGTTATTATTTTCAATTCTGGATAATTTGTCTGTGAAAGAGCAAGTGTTTATGATCTCATTGCCTTGAACACACTTTGACCACATGGTTGAGATCAGAGAAGTTAGATTATGGGAGCTCGAACCCCCACTTGGACTACAAACGCTGAAGGGTGGGGAGTTTAGGCTCACACGGAGCGATCTAGTTCAATGACTTTGATGCTCCACCGGAAAAATTGAGCTTCATCCTTAGCCAATCAGGAAGCTGCTCGGTTAGCCTGCCGCACATTCTTCCCTCTTGGGTCGAAAAGAGTAGACTCGCAACGAAAAGAAGAACTTCCGAGACGGCTCACTGCAATATGACACCTGCTTGGATCTATGAAGGCCCTATATAGGGGCTATGTATAAGTTTGTGCAGCTAAATCTGTCTGGGTTTGCTTTGCCTCGTCTTCATACCTCGTACCTCTTCCATGCACTTCTCACCTATGTCCACGTATTGTACAAGATTCTGGCTACGGTTCACTCACTTACGCTCACTTACAAGAGATTAAAATTTTTCATCATCAAGAGAAACATAATCATATGGATATATTTTATAATCATGAAAAAAAGGATGATAAATTTTACATAGACAAGGTATCTAATTATCATTTATGATAATGTTAATCATTTAACATGCGGAATACTAAGGATTTTATAATATAACTTAAATAAAATATTACTAGTTGTTGAGAGGCAATTGAAATTACATGCTAAAAAAGGTTTTTAGAAGCAAAGATATATATTCAATATCACATCATTGATCATTTGAATGAGTTTCGTTTCTTTAATGAAATTCAATACATTAATGATCTTCAAAAATAGTGAGATTCAAGAATAAAACTAATTAGATATAAAATCACATTGATATTTTCAATGGTTTTTTTGAGCTCAAAAAGTGAGAGTTGAATGTTGATATTTTTTAATGATTAAGTTTGTTTGATGTGAGTAAAACATGCTGATAACAAGTTTTATCATCTTGGAGTAGAGCAAATATAAAGTAATTTTTGGACTTATTGATGATAAATGGACACAAAAACTAAGATTCAATAACTAGTGAATAGATGTATAGTTAGTGACACGTAATGTAATAAGTAGAGTTGTGTGATTATAAATATTATATACTTTATCAAAGAATTGAGATTTTTTATCCTAGTCGTGAGTAGTTTTAATAATTTAGTTTCTGCTCCGAGTAAAAAAATAATCTTCTAGAAATTATGAATGAGCATGCATATTTTTTCTTTTATTAAAAAAAATACTATATTTTACATTATATAACTCTTTACTCAAAGGTTAATATTTGATTGATTTGACTAATTTGTGTATTTCACTTCTAATTCCACAACCCTATAAGTATTTGACTTTTTACCTTCCACACTGTTAATGTTAGAGAATTGCCATCTTGTGATTATTGATGATGCAAGCTGGCTTGAGATGTATGTTGTGTGGATTAGATGGCGGAAAGTTGACTATGTCGAGTTTTGATTTTTAATTTATATATTAACATATATCATATTCGATAATACCACAACAACACTAATCCAAAGGACTGTAATGTTGTATGGATGCAACAAGTCTGGCTATATCTTATCGTGATATAGTTCTGATATACGACTAACAACGCAGCATTATTTATAGTAGACTTGAGAAGGTTATATCATGTTTTGGAGAAGATGTGTATCTAGGAGAAGAGAGATCTACCGATAATTGTCGGGTGGTTGTAATACCACACGATATCTCGCATGACAATATGTGTAGTAAGATGTGTGATATCTCATCGAGATATGTTGAGTTGCAAGTTGCATGTGCACTCCACCTCAGGCGGCCTAACTCATCCATTTCGAATGCATCACACCGATCTACCCAAAACTAGTGAAGAATTCTGTACTGTTACTTCAACTTTGTTAGATCAATGTTTGACAGCACTCCATCTCCACTACAACTCTTAAACTTTCTGTCTAACCTTTCTTAATTAGAATTCTTCCATTCGTGCACACTTTTGCTGCTCGAGTTCCAATAAGATTGCAATCCATTGGTTTACCCTGTCACCCTTATCGTGTAGAGTGTGTGAGGCACTATAGATCAGCTGCAGTACTTCCATGTAGTCATCTTCCTCATGGCTCCAATCCCGATAATACTTTGGCATAAACTTTCTTGGCGGGAAGAAGACAAAAATCTCCATTTTCTTTATATATCTCTAGGCGATATTTTGGTAGATGGCGATGCCTGGAGGAAGTGCTTGTGAATTTCAGCTTTGGCCTATTATTCTTTGGCGCTCGACACCTGAAAAGCCTTCGTTAGAGGGAATTCTCAAATGTGTTCGTCACCTGGAGAATCATGCTTTTCGACACTAGTGATGACCTTCTCACCTCGCCCATTGAACTTGACATGCTCAACATGCTCTTCAATATGTGCTTCAAATTTTGTGTATTTTTTAACTGAAACTACGGGTGGTGTACAGTAATGTATAGTACTGTGTCGATCCTCAAAGCAAGGGCACAGTACAACAGGCTTTGCCCTCCGAGCTGACTACCCATGTGCCACTCAGGTGTCAGAATAAATCGTGACGACATCGATTGTAACAGCACGTTGAAGCATTCACTCACATATCATGTTGACTTGCACAACAAAGTGAAGGCTTACTCTGACCGTCTGACGTATCTCTTAGTAAACTCCCAAAAAGTTGATCAGTTTGATCTAAGACTACGGGTTGTGTACAGTAATGTATAATACTGTATCGATAATAAAAGCAAGGACACAGTACAACAGGCTTTGTCCTCCGAGCTGACTACCCATGTGCCACTCAGCTGTCAGAATAAGTCGTGACGATATCGATTGTATCAGCACATTGAAGCATTCACTTACATATCCTGTTGACTTGCACAACAAAGTGAAGGCTTACTCTGACCGTCTGACGTATCTGACCTATCGCTTAGTAAACTCCCAAAAAATTGATCAGTGTGATCTGAAACCACGGGTTGTGTACAGTAATGTATAATACTGTATCGATAATAAAAGCAAGGACACAGTACAACAGGCTTTGTCCTCCGAGCTGACTACCCATGTGCCACTCAGCTGTCAGAATAAATCGTGAAGACATCGATTGTATCAGCACATTGAAGCATTCACTCACATATCCTGTTCGCTTGCAGAACAAAGTGAAGTTTTATTCTGACCGTTTAAGAACATTGTCCCATGACACCGAGTACACATGTTGTGTTGGCATGTTGTCGTTACCTCGATCGCCCACACGATTGAATGAGAGGATCTGATGAAGAAGCTGCATATTTTTTCTAGGCGCTACATATCGTAGGGTCTGTCTTCCCGTGGGTCTCGATCCAGCTAGATTCGCATTCTCCCAGTCCAATAGTACATCCTGTTTAACACAGTGCAGAGTACTTCACATCTGAGGTATCTGCGCTTCCATAACATTCTGCGTGCACATCGCACCATTTTGGCTACGATCAAGTCTTTTATTGTCAGATTTACGTGCACCAGTGCATATCGAACACTTCCTTCATTCGAGTTAACAATAGGTATGCTTTTGCGAGAGATGTGAAGTCCCCTTTGCGCACGCTTTATGATTTCGCATGGAACTAGAATCCTGGTCAATTTTGATTCACATGGCTTGTCGCGCCATGTACTGAGTTACTGCTCACACTTTGCACAATCTTTCTATTTTCTTTGTAATTAATCTTGATCCTATTCTGTACAGAGCTTGTCAGATTTACGTGCAGCAGTGCACATCAAACACTTCCTTCATTCGAGTTGACAATAGGTATACTTTCGCGAGAGATGTGAAGTCCCCTTTGCGCACGCTCTATGATTTCGCACGGAACTAGAATCCTGGTTAATTTTGATTCACATGGCTTGTCGAGCCATGCAATGAGTTACTGTTTCCACTTTGCACAATCTTTCTATTTTCGTTGTGATTAAAATTGATCCTATTCTGTACAGAGCTTGTCAGATTTACTTGCAGCAGTGCACATCAAACACTTCCTTCATTCGAGTTGACAATAGGTATACTTTCGCGAGAGATGTGAAGTCCCCTTTGGCGCACGCTCTATGATTTCGCATGGAACTAGACACCTGGTTAATTTTGATTCACATGGCTTCTCGTGCCATGCAATGAGTTACTGTTTACACTTTTCACAATCTTTCTATTTTCGTTGTGATTAATCTTGATACTATTCTGTACAGAGCTTGTCAGATTTACGTGCACCAGTGCACATCAAACACTTCCTTCATTCGAGTTAACAATAGGTACAATTTCGCGAGAGATGTGAAGTCCCCTTTGGACACGCTTTATGATTTCGCATGTACTAGAATCACGCGTTTTCTAGTAAAAAAACGCGTCTTCGATCCAAAAAAAATATTTTGATTCATATCGCTTTTCGTGCCATGCACTGAGTTACTACTTCCACTTTGCACAATCTTTCTATTTTCGTGGTGATTAATCTTGATCCCCATATGTACAGAGCTTGGAGTAATCTCTGTATCTCTCCTCTGGCACCGCGCAAGAATTCTCACATCTGAGAACGCACATGCACTCAAGTTGTGGCTCTGCGACGGGAAATTCAGTTTTGTTCGGGTGAGCCGGGCTTGCTGATCGAGGAGAGTGCTTGCCGTATGCCCGGTTTACATTTCGCTTGTGTATTCCAAGCAGCAAACGTTTCTTCCTCTGTGAGAATGGAAGGTGCAGGTGCGTCTATTGTCAGTCACGCTGCCGAAACAAGGGGAATGGACTCTGCAGACGAGGAACCAGAGACGTCTCACGTGAGAGAGGCAGACGACGATGTCATGGTTCCCTCCGAGATAAGGGAAATATACTCCGCCGACGAGGAACCAGAGACGTCTCACGTGAGCGAGACAGACGAACAGAAGCTTCCCTCCGCTGTCATGGACCTTATACGGCGTCTGGAAGGCGCAGGCGAGCCTTTCTTGGGGCTTCCCAATTTAAGGTGGTCAGAGTTCTTTCCGGTGCGTGAATTGCTCTCGACTATCAAAGGGTGGAGAAGCGAAGTGCGCCTTCGAGTGCTGGAGGCAATCGGCAGATGCGATACATTTATACAACTCGACATACAAACGATTTTTGGCGGAGATATATCGAGGTTGACGGCCAGCGAGTGGGAGAGAGTTTTGCGAGGATTCAGGTCTAGCACCCATCTACGAGAGATAAGAGTTGAAGATTTGACATGGATTTCAGATGAGGAAGTGGAGAGCTTGTGTTTACATTTGGGAATAATTCTGAACTCCTCTAGCGTAACAGAATTGAAAATAGGCAATTGCAGTTTAAGTGCGAGATGTTTCTTGAATCTCGCCTCAGGGTTGCGAGGAAATTCAAAATCTCAACTCCAGTCTTTAGAATTACGTAGAGCATGGGAGGACTCGAGTGCGGTGAAGCATGTGGCTGACATGATCAACAGTGCTCCTCTTTTAAAAACGTTGAGTTTAAGCGGCTATTTGAACCACAGGAACGACATGGATGAAGAGACTGTTCGAATCCTGTCCCAGGCTTTGATCCAGAGGTCATCTTTGAAAGAATTGGTTTTAGTTGAGGTGGAGTGGGGAGCGGCCTTGTTGCTGCAAGCTTTGGCCGGAGAGGATAGAAACCGATCCATTGAACGACTTCATCTGCATGATATGGTGAGACTCGGAGACTGTTTAAGGCAAGTTCTTTCTTCCAACGCATCATTGAAGGAGATGTCGTTGCACTCCTTGCGGATGCGTCCTGAGGAATGGCACCAGCTCGGCGAATTCATAAGTGACAATGCTAGAGCTGTTCATATTTATGTACATTTTGGTTTCGACCAAAATGTTGAAGATAACTGGAAGTCAATAGAAGCTCTTGCGTGTCCTGCTCGCTTTCGTGCCCGGGACCTCACGGTGGAGCTTGACCTCAAACCTCCGAGTGACCATGATTTTTTGTTATCACTAAAGCTATTAGGAAGGATACTGCGCGGGGAAATCAAAGCTCTAGAATCTTTCAATATATCGTTCAGTACATGGCCTCCCTTTACGGATAATAGACTGGAAACTATCCTGTCGATGGATGGAAAAACTGGAGAAACTTCAGTCCTGAAGAAACTGGGATTACATGTTAAAAACACGTACAAAGAGGACGAAGATTTGTTTCTTTGTTTGAAGGGAGCATGGAAGCACCTGTTTTGGTGCTTGCAAGGGAACAAAAGTCTCACTCACTTGGATTTGTGTGGCTCCAAACTCGACGACGAGGGATTCAGGGACCTGATGGGGCTCCTGCAGGTGAACTTCACTCTCGAGAAAATAGATGTCACAGGAACCTCATGGGAGAAGGACGGAAAGGCGGCGCAGATAAACGAGGCCCTCAAGCGGAAGCAGGCCGAGTACATGTCGGTGTTCACAGAAGCCGGATTAACATTTGGAGATGCAAGAGCTGGTCGACTGGTCTTATGCGGCTCTCCTAGAGCAGGTAAGGTGCTCTGTAAGTTCTCAGTTTTTTAAACTAGCAATCTAAGGTTTTACTTCTCGAAAATTAAATTTATATCCACAAAGATGATTTTTCATCTAGATGTAATTGCAATTGTGTAAATATATAAAAAAAACATGAAGAAAAAATTCACCAATATCCAAATCAATTCAAATTTATTAAATGCTTTCATATTTTGATGCGAAATTTAAAATTTTTTTCCCATTTGTTTGTTTAGACAACATAATTTAACAGTATGGTATCAAGTTATGTGCAATTAATGATTCTTTTTATTCAATATGCAGGCAAGACTAGATTGCGTCATACCCTGATGAGGATAGTTGAAGCAAAAAGTTGGCTAGGGAACAAATGGGACGAATTGAGAACAAATGGGATGAAAGGCATTGAAGTGGAGTTCTTGCAAAAGAATGACAGAAGAGAAATCTCAATTTGGGATGTTGCGGGTCAACAGTACTTCTGTACTATTCGACGTTTGCTTTTCCCTCAAAGTAGCAACTTTTGTGTTTTTCTATTTGTGTATAGCCCCTTCTTTCCTGAACAATCTAGGTACAAACCAGACTCTTGTCTTATGTCAGAGTTAGAGGAATGGTTAATTTTCATCACATCTTGCACGACGATACATAATCGTCCACAGGTTCTTGTTGTGATTTCACACAAGGATAAAAAATCTGGACTATACTATACCTCGGCTTGTTCCATAGTGAACAAGCTCGCCAAAAGATTTGCAAAATTTGTACATGTTCACCCTATTCAACCCTGGTGTCATGTGGATGCTCGAAACAAGAAGCAAGTTATTCCTCTCAAAAACAAAATTTTTTTGATTTTTGAGACGATGTGGAATGAAAAATTCCTAGAAGTTCCACAATTGTGTTTCCTACTGTCTTCTCTCTTGGTAACAAGACCAAGAGACATCAAAAGTCGCCCAGTTTGGTCATACTATAAGTTTTTTCTCTTCTGTGCCTCCAGTTTAGCAGAGTTCAGTTCATTCACTGATCTCCCTAGTTATCGCTATATAACAAGGGGTATTATAATAGAGGAAATGATCTCCTATTTGAATGACATTGGATCTATCATATTCATCCCTAATACTGATTGCATCATTGTTAATCCAAACTGGCTCATCACTACTTTAGCTCATCCACTAACACAGCACACCATGTCACATGCCTCACACACAAGCAAGGATGGATTTGTGAGTGAAAGTGTATTTGCTGGGTTGATAGAGGTGTTTCTCCGAAGCCAACCACATGGACAGAGAGGTGTAAATAGAGAGATGCTTGAAAATATCCTTATCAATTTAGATTTGTGTTTCAAGCTGGAGGATTCTTCTCAGTATTTCATTCCTCTCCTTTTACCTGAGCATGGAGGTGCGCACGTGGAGTCTATGGCTTGGAAAACTAAGGATGAGACCTCAAAGTTTGTCGGCATCCGGATTCAATGCCAAGATCAAAGAACAATGTCACTGACCGCTGATTTTTTTGCACGCTTCCAGGTGATTTCTTATAAACCGTTAGAAAATTGAATGCGTCAAAATCTGATTGTAACTTGTGTTCGATGATTAAAGTGTTCCGTTTTCGTTTGTTGAATTCAATTTTTGAAATGCGCAGCTCTATATTTACCAAATTTTGTATCATTGTAGATGTTCATGATACGCAAGTTGATATACGAGATGCATGTTTCCGAGAAGAATGTGGGCTACTCTCAAAATTGTCTGCAACTTTTACTTGATGGGCACGAGATCTACGTCGAACAAGGAACGCGGATCGAACAAGGAACGCGGAACACGTACGTGGATGTTCTGATGTTATGCCCAACTTATAGATCAAGGTCGGAGGATTTGCGATACGTGATGAAGCATATCGTCCAGGAGTTGATATCATTTTGCGCATCACCTAAAGGCTGTCCCGGGGTGGCGTTAGTGCTCGGTGTGATCCAAACCTTTTGCGTGGAGATGCTAATTCCGAGTCATCTGAGAGGGGCTATTCTGATCGAGAATCTGAGATCAAAATTCATTTGTAGCATCAAAGACAAACTTGAGGATATTCCTTTGGATTGCTTGCACTTGGAGAATGAAGATGGGTTGTTTGACTATGAGCACTCTTGGCCTTTCATTGAAGGGCACACAACAGAGAGTATATTTGAAAGAGCTAGGGATTTGCTGTGGGAGAGCGATGTGGAAGCGGTTCTGAATGAGATCCGACAGCACCGAATCCAACAATTGGAATCATTGCAGCAAGGTTTAATCAACGTGAACAATGATTTGGTTCATTCTCACCTTGAGTATTTCTTTCCCTCCTTCATACGTGAGTATGCAAGCATGGAAGAACATCCTTATGTTGTTTTGGGAGGCGCACGTGGAGGGCCGCACATGGAGTCGATGGCTTGGAAAACTAAGGATGAGACTTCAAAGTTTGTCGGCATCCGGATTCAACGCGAAGATGGAAGAACAATGTCATTGACCTCTGCTTTTTTCCCATGCTTCCAGGTGATTTTGATATATACAGTTATAAAATTGAATGCGTCAACTTGTGTTCGATGAATGGAGTGTTTTGTTTTTGTTTGTTGAATTCAATTTTTGAATTGCGCAGCTCTATATTTACAAGATTTTGTGTAATTGTAGATGTTCATAAAACGCAAGTTGATATCGGAGATGCATGTTTCCAAGAAGAAGACTGTGACCTGCTCTCAATATTATCTGCGAATTTTACTTGATGGGCACGAGATCTACGTTGAGCAAGGAACGTCCCACAATTACGTAGATGTTCTGATGTTATGCTCGAAGCACAAATCAAGGTTGGGGGCTCTGCAATACATGATGAAGCATATTGTCCAGGAGGTACTTTCATTTTACGCATCACCCAAAGGCTGTCCCGGGGTGGCGTTAGTGCTTGGTGTGATCCAAACACATTGCGTGAAGGAGCTGAAGCCTAGTGTTCTGAGAAAGGCAATTCTGATTGAGGAGCTCAAATCAAACTTTACTCGTAGAATCAATGATAACTTGAGGATATTTCGTTGGAAAAATCGCACTTAGAGATTTTCACCTATGAGCACGTTGAGTGGAGATGCTGAATCCGAGTCATCTAAGAGCGGCAATTCTAATCAAGGATCTGAGATCAAAATTCATTCGTAGTATCAAAGACAAACTGAGTATATTCCTTTGGATAGCTCGCACTTGGAAAAGTAAGATGTGTTGTTCGACTATGAGCACTCTTGGCCCTTGATTGAAGGGCACATAACACAGGGTAGAGATGCGCACGTGAAGTCGATGACTTGGAAAACTAAGGATGAGACCTCAAAGTTTGTGAGCATCTGGTTTCAATGCCAAGATCAAAGAACAATGTCACTGACCGCTGCTTTTTTCCCATGCTTCCAAGTGATTTCATAAACTGAATGCGTCAAGATCCGATTGTAACTTGTATTCGATGGATTGAGTGTTCCGTTTTTGTTAATTGAATTCAATTTTTGAAATGAGCAGCTTAATATTTACCAAATTTTGTACCGTTGTGGATGTTGATGAGACGCAAGTTGATATCAGAGGTGCATGTTTTCAAGAAGAAGACTATGACCTGCTCTCGACATTGTCTGCGACTTTTACTTGATGGGCACAAGATCTACGTCGAGTAAGGAACGTCCCACAAGTACGTGGATGTTTTGATGTTATGCTCGAAGCATAATTCAAGGTCGGGGGCTTTCCAATACGTGTTGAAGCATATCATCGAGGAGTTGCTTTCATTTCACGTATCATCAAAAGGCTGTCCCGGGGTGGCATTAGTGCTCGGTGTGATCCAAACACGTTGCATGGAGATGCTATATCCGAGTGATCTGAGAAAGCCAATTCTGATTGAGGAGCTCAAATCAAACTTTAGTCGTAGCATCAATGATAACTTCAGGATATTCCGTTTGATGAATGAGTACGGAAGATTAAAAACTCTCCTAAACTCTCTTTAATCTCCTTGCATCAAGAATTGATTTCCAAACACCAAGAACTAGAGTCGGATTACTCAGTTTAGATCCCAAGCGACTGACGTGTACGCAGACGTGATGAGACCACATATGCATGTCGTGACAACCATTAGCTGAATCGATGACTAGGTTTCACAAGGTCAAGTATTAAGAAGGTTTAAAGATACGCTTGAGTAAGAAAATAGAGTGTGGATAGGAAAAATCATTGAAATCTTACTCAAAGTCATGCATTATGCTATGAAGTAGTATTGGATGTGATACTTGGATTGGACCAAGCGATTCCGGAGTGGAAAAATTTCAAATTTGATATTTTTGAATTAAATGATATTAGCAATCATTATCATAGAACAGTTTTAAAAGGTGGGGAAAGCAAAAAGCTGAAAAAAGTATGGTTGAGGATTCAGCAAACTCTTGCGACTATTAACTATTCAACAATCTTCAAGTTGTATCAGGTGAAATATGTGAGAGTAGAATTAGGTGATCATGCATGGGTGTGAGAGGAGTGCATGGATAAAGGTCATCTTTCGGGCTTTTTGACATAGTAGGAAATGAAAAGGTTAGACTACCATTATGCAATCGACAAGCACATGTTTATATCCTCATGCAATATGAACCTTTTCAAATCTTCCTTAAGAGTTTTTACTCTGACAAGTCTTGTACACTTGTAATCTATGTAATCATGTCAATTGCACAGTTATGTTTTTGAAGAGGATGAGATTTGGCTAAACTATCAAAATTCCACTTTTAGGAGAAAATTTGAAGTATGTCTTGTTGCAAGTTTTACCATGATGAAATTACTTTACTTTCAAGTGGGGGCGGTTAGCCATAGAGTTAGTAGCATTGTTTTGACTTGAGTACAATTTTGAACACTAAAGTTGGCCGCTTTACATCAAAGACGTGTTTTTATATCAATGACTAGATTGGTCATTGTTGAACACTACATTTAAGAATTACTTCATGGTTAGCAAAAAAATCTTTATTGTTTCAAGTGTAAGTTTGAAGATGATCATTTTGAATTTCAGACAGAAAAAACCAAATTTAATGAAGAATTCAAAAAAAATAAATTATTTCCAATAATTCCATTATTAAGACTTTAGAAGAAAAATGAGATCAATTTGGTTTGAAACTAACAAATTATTTGCTTCATAGTTTTTATTGTCAAAAAGTAAATGCAAAAAGAGGTGCAATAATTACTGACTAGAAGTAATATATATGACAAAATTTAATGACATCTCTCGTTGTATGATTGTAACTTTTGTACAAATTATTTTTCTGAAATAAGATGAAGTATAATTCCTTAAAATCTTACGTGAGCATCATCAAATTTTTTATGATATAGAAATGTGAAATATTTATCTCTAGATTAACTCTAGATAAATTAATGACATTACTTTTGATGGATAAGATTCAAAGACTAAAAAATCTCCTAAAATCTTATAAATCTCCTTGCACCAAGAATTAATCTCCAGGTACCAAGAACTGTTGAGCTCCCAAGCAACTGACGTGTACACAGATGTGATGAATCCACATATGCATGTCCTGACAACCGTTTACCCAATCGGTGACTGGGTTTCACAAGGTCAAGGATCAAGAAGGTTTGAAGATAGAAGGCTTGAGTTAGAAGAATAGAGCGTGGTTAGTAAAACTCATTGAAATCTTACTCAAAGTCATGCATTATGCTGTGAAGCGGGACTGGATGTGATCCGCGGGTCACATCCTCGGACAATGCGAGGAGTGCATGGATAAAGGTCATCTTTCTGGCTTTTTGACATAGTAGGAAATGAAAAGGTTAGACTACCATTATGCAATCAACAAGCACATGTTTAGATCCTCATGCAATATGAACCTTTTCAAATCTTCCTTAAGAGTTTTTTCTCGTACAAGTCTTGTCTTTTATAATCTATGTAATCATGTCAATCGCGCAGTTATGTTTATGAAGAGGATGAGATTTTGGCTAAACTATCAAAATTCCACTTTCAGGAGAAAATTTGAAGTATGTCTTGTTGCTAGTTTTACCATGATGAAATTCCTTTACTTTCAAATGGGGGCGGTTAGCCAAAGAGTTAGTAGCATTTTTTTAGCACGAGTGCAATTTTGAACACTGAAGTTGGCCGCTTTACATCAAAGACATGTTTTTATATAGATGACTAGATTGGTCATTGTTAAACACTACATTTAAAAATTGCTTCATGATTAGTACAAAAATCTTTATTGTTTCAAGTATAAGTTTGAAGATGATCATTTTGAATTTCAGACAGAAAAAACCAAATTTAATGAAGAACTCAAAATTTTTTTTCAATATTTCAATTATTAACACATTAGAAGAAGAATAAGATCAATTTGGTTCAAAATTCACGAATTATTTGCTTCATAGTTTTTATTGTCAAAAAGTAAATGCAAAAAGAGGTGCAATAATTACTGACTAGAAGTAAAATATATGACAAAATTGAATGACATCTCTCGTTGTAAGATTGTAACTTTTGTACTAATTATTTGTCTGAAATACTATGAGGTGTAATTCCTTAAAATCTTACGTGAGCATCATCAAATTTTTTTTGATATAGAAAGTTGAAATATTTATCTCTAGATTATCTAAAGATTGAAATAATTTTTAGCTAAATACTTGATTGCACTAAGTATAAATATTCGATGCATTTGACTAAAGATAAGCTCTTATTTGTGATACATGAATGAATAAATTAAAATACTGCAGATTACAACGTACACAATGTCATATTCTTATTTCAACATAGGAACAAATGAAAATGTGAAATATACATGATAGGTAAATAAAAATTCTTAATGTATTATGTATATTGAAAATAGTAATACATATCAAGATTTAAAAATTTCCAGCAAAATAAATGAAGACTATACTTACTTATTAAAGAAAATTATTCATAAAAAACAAACATCTATTTAGAAAATAACTATCGATCAAGATGAAAAACATCTCTAGAATGCTAAATTGTTTCATAAAAAAAAATATTATTCTTGTAAAACGTTTTGAATGTTCAAATGAAGTAATGAATGGATAGAGTTTTAGGCATTAGATATGATACACAATTACCTCGATAAAACATCAAAGTTTTATATTCATAATGAATTCTCAAAGAAGAATCAGAGTTTAATCTGAATGAAAGTTCATCGTACAGTTAAGGAATTGAATATTGCTTCAACACCAAAATTGTATTCTTTACCGTTTATGAAACTTGATAATCATATGAGACTGGATTCTCAAGACAGCAAAAATTTACTATATCCAACTTGGTTACTCTAAACCCAATGTATCTGAGAATACTTAGAAATGGAACGACAAGGCTTGTTGAATGTTGAAAATGGTTTGTTGAATGTTTTCATCATAGTAAAACAATTTTCTAAGTAAAGAGAGTGGATAGCTTTGGTGGACAAGTTGAATGAAGACACAATACATGCATTTTAAGCATCATTGCAGTGACAGACTTTTCCAATAGCACAAGTGTTGATTAATTCGAAACTGATTTTTTTTTAACTGAATTTCAGGCTGTGTGATGATACATGGCTGATCATCGTGCTACATCAAGTGATATAATGATTGATGATCTAGCACACCATGGCAAAAACAATTTAGAAAGTTTGACTTATATATCATCCAGAAATCGGGATAGTCGGCCATCATGGTTGGCCATGAAATATATTTTTAGCAGGCAAGTGTCTTTGAGAACTTTTTCATCATATTTCTTAATATATAGTAGACATCAAGAATAACCTGCAGTAACAGTCATCCGAGATCTTGGATTTGGGTAACCTTAATATATGGATATGTGGTAACCCACTTTTTGTTTTTGTGCGAAATTAAAACATTTTTGGAAAACAAGTACCGCAATAGCAACTGTAAATAGTAATCGGTATAATAAATAGAGTGAAAAGAGAGGATCGCGGGTCATGGAGAATCACGGAGTTGGGCGCAATGTCGGAAAGCGCCTTTGGCGCCTTTGGCAACATTTCCTTTGCTGAATGTCTTTGGCGCATGCGCCTACGGCGCATGCGCCTCCAGAGGAGATGTCGCTTACAACGCACAAGGCATGCGCGACATACGCCTTCGTCACAGGGAGCTCAACCTCGTCATTTTGTACGCCTTCGGCGGTAGAGTCCTTCGCCCGAGCGCCTTCAGCGCAAGCGCTTTGATGTTAGGTTTTGCCTTTGGCGGAAGGTCAGACCTTCGCCTTCGGCGATACACCTTTGGTAGAAACAGGAGCCCTCGATGGAAAGCAACATCTACGGTAAGAGCGCCTTCGGCGGGAAAAGAAACGACACCGAGACCGGCAAGATGTAGTGACTTCGGTCGTACGCCTTTGGCCGTATGCCTTCGACAATGCGCCTTCGGCGGAATACAGACGCCTTCGGCGGAATGCTTTCG